AGAAAGGTGGTTTATAAATATTTGAAAAAAATAAAATAAATGGCACTTCCACCCATATGGTTATGAAACTATGTGTGGGAGCAACCAGACTGATTAAGAGTGTTTAAATAGGGTCTTGTTTATTGTCCACAGTGAAAGTTAAATAGTGGGTTGAGAAACAATTAAATAACTACATTTGCCTATCATTTTGGCTTTTAATAGTTGCTCAGATTTGGTAGAATAATATTTACTCTCATTTGTGTTGAACAGTATGCATATACTTGGCTCTGTAAAGAGTACACACTTGGATGTTGAGGTACATACTTTAAAGAACAATCAAGGAAGTTGAGCTCATTAGATGTTACTCTTTGATGTTGTGACATGCAGGTTTCCTCTTTATCATCTTAAAATATCACACTAAAAATACTTCCAGTTTAAGGCTTTGACATTCTGTTGATGCTCGCAAATTTTAATTTCCAAAGCTTACTCATCCCTAGATAAAGTGTTTTCTGGGAAGATGACAGGCAACAATAGATTGCTTTGTACCCTTGTGTCAAAAGGATCAGAAGAACAGTAATACAGAGTTATTTGTGAGCTGGATGGCAGTGGTTTTTCTGTGATATGACAAGCTTGCTAATGATACTTGATAGGACTATTGTAAAAGGATGATACTATTGTGAATAAATGTTTTGAAACAGTACTCAAAGTTCAGACAGAAAGCTGCCATCAAAACTACAAGGATACCAGCGTGGTTAATGAACAAAGTCAAGGAAAACAGCACTTTATTTATTTCTAAAATACATATACTACTGCTCCAGTTTTGCGCAAGGTGTAAAACAATTTAAAAAAACAACCAAGACAGTAAAAAATGATTCAATAATAATAAATCATGCTAATAAACATAAATCAGTAAAATAGGTCTAGCTATACAAACAAGTCAATTAAAACATGTAAATAAGAGTAAGCAAACCCCATAACAACAATATGTGAATTATCACTTACATTTGTCTATCAGAAGATTAGGAAGTTTCAAAATCTGCATTGTTTGCTAAAGGGATCTGGGTAGTATTCGGGAAATGGTACCCAGTTAGCATGACATTTTTTCCACCTGTCCTAAACTGAGAAGGAAACCATGGTTGAAAATAGATTGTGTTTTAAAAATCTTAATAAAACGTTTGGGAGGAAAATAAATACTTGTAGAACTTAAAAAAAGAAAATAGAATTATTAAGCATATAGAAGCAGACTGCATACTTGGAAGCTACATACTTGGAAGCTAAATGAGGTTGGCCATGGTTAGTATTTGGATGGGAGACCACCAAGGAAGAGTGGTGTTGCTATGCAGAGTATTGCAATGGCAAACCACCTGTTGCCTTGAAAACCATTTGAGGGGTTGCCATAAGTTGATTGTGACTCGTTGGCACTTAATCATTATTATTATTACTAACATATAGAACAGGGATCCCCAGCCTTTTTGAGGCTGCGGGTACCATTATAATTTTGACACAGGGTGCCCACCTACAACCACAAAATGAATGCAGTAGGTAGCAGAGCAAACTGCTGGTTTTTGTATTTTGATTGTATTTAAACGATGAATTGTACTGGTTAGCTTCCATGTGGGAAGAATTCATCCCTTTAAAAATGGAATTTGAAATCATTTTTTAAAGGCAGCCTTACTTGTTTCCAGGATTATTTATTGATGTTACTTATAGTCCTTTCTAATTGAAACTCGAGGCAGATTACATAGTATAAGTCAGTACAGTCAACTGGATGAACCATCCAATTAACTTGACACATTAAATGGTGCAAAAATTACATAGTAGTATGTATTACATACAGTAGTATAGTCTGCAGTCCCTGTCCCTTTACCAAAGCAGTTTTCTGTTATAACAGCTTTTGTTATAGCATACCCCTATTACCTGTATAAAAAAAATCCCTGCTGAGTAATTCAGTTTTGCATAGTTCACGGAATGCCAGGAGCTTAGGCACCTGCCTGACCTTTAGGCAAGTAGTGTTGTCGCCACATTTTCAAATGGGTCTTTGCCATCCAGAAGTGCAAACGATCATTTTAAGAAAGAATTCAGAACTATATACTAATTCCCAAAGTCCCCTTTGCATGTGGATAACTTCCACCAACAGAGAGCTTACTATCCCCCAGCAGATTTTTCTACAGACTCAGAGGACTCCCTGGGTCTTCAGAAAAGTCCAAAAAGTTTTTTTAAAAAACTTGGGGAGGGTTGAATTCCCCCCAATACCTTTTGAAATGGCTTCCACAGGGATCTACTCCAGGTATCAGTGGAAAGAGAGTGTTCTGGGGGGGG